TGTCTTGCTCTTCTTTTACTTGTTTTACTGATGCCGAACTCCTTTTCGCAGGTACGATGGACTCTCGAGGGACCCGAGGTGGGCACTTGTTCCAGGGCATGAAGAGGAGAAAACGGGTGGCTAAGCGAGCTCGCACCGAGCCATCCCAGGGTGCGGAGCCCGAGGTACCGGATTATCCGGCGGAGGACCAGCCTATGGAGCCCGAGATGGTTCCTCCTATGCAGGAACCAGCGGGGGCTCCTTATGCCGAAACTACTCACACAGGGGCTCCCGCTTACTCCGAGTCTGCCCATACGCGAGCTGGGCCGTGGGGCTCGGAGGCCCCAGGGGACTTCAGGAGTGTGCTGTCGCCTATTCACGCTCTTCAACAGAGTAAGGAGGCCATGTTTCCCGAGGAAGTCGCGGCGTGGACCGAGCTCCCTCTACACCAAGTGGCCTGCCGTGCCATTACCCATGCCATGGTGGTAAGTGCTCCCTTCATTAGAGTTCTTTGGTCTTTAGTCTTTTATTCGTTCCTTTGATCCCTTGTTTCCCTTTGGTAGGTGAACTCTTCTATTCACGCCTTGGCGAACCAGGTGGAGAGGTGCTCGAGGCAGGTGCAAACTGCCGAGGAGGCTGCTCGTGCTGCCGAGGAGGCTGCTCGCCTCGCGCGGACTAGGCAGGCGAGGTCTCAGAGAGATGCTGAGGCCATGGGAGTGGTGGTGAAGCATATGGCGGAACTGAAGCTGGATTTGCAGCATCAGGTCGAGTATCTTCAGGAGGATATCAGGGAGAGGACTCAGATCTTCTCTCAAGGCATCGAAAACGCGAAGAAAAAAGCTGTCAGTGATTATATTGCTTCACCGGATTTCGATGATCTGATGGTGGATTCCTACAGGAGGGGTTTCAAGCTAAGCCGATGGATGATCCGAAATACGTACCCCGAGCTCAATACCAGCGCCATATCCACTTCGTGCATTACTCATGAGATGGCTAATGCTGCGGATGCCGAACCGGACTCCGAGGGGGAGGCAGGTCCTTCGGGKGTTGTCGAAGTGGCTTCTGATAATGATGAAGTAGCCCCTGACTTGTAAAAGATGAAGTGGCTTTTGCTCTCGTTTTTTTTTTTTGAATGTACACCTTTATCTGAAATGAAATGGCCTTTTTGTTTAAGTGCCGGTTGTCCTGTCTTCGACCTACGTTTTTTGCCGAACTGACCATTTCGGTCCGTTAGTTCGTTATTTACCTCGGCTTCGGGGTACTTGCCTTGGTGGTTTATAGGTAGTATCTTCTTAAGTTGACGACGTTCCATGCTCGGGGTACTTGTTTTCCTCCTAGGGTTTTGAGCTCGTATGCCCCCCCACCGAGTGCGTTCTTTACTCTGTAGGGTCCTTCCCAATTTGGTCCAAGTTTCCCTATGCCGGGTTCGAGCACCATGACCTTACGGAGAACCAGGTCGTTGACGCGGAAGTTCCTCTTCTTTACTTGCGCGTTATAATACCGAGCTACCTTTTGCTGGTAGGCCGCAGTTCGGATGTGCACGAGGTCTCTCACTTCGTCCAGTAGGTCGAGGTTGGTGCGTAACTCGCCCTCGTTTGTCTATTCGTCGTATGCTTCCAGTCGCAGTGTGGGTACTTCGATTTCCGCCGGGATCACCGCCTCGGTGCCATAGGTGAGGTTAAAGGGGGTCTCTCCTGTGGCGGTTTTTTCCGTGGTTCGGTGAGCCCATAGAACACTTGGTAGTTCGTCTGCCCACAAACCTTT